AGCAGGAATTTTGGCTCAAGCCAGGAGGAAAAGCCCTCTGTTCAGTTTAAAGCTAGCTTAAGCTGATGTAGTCCAAAATGCAGTGCCCTTTTATAACATCCAAGAATCTCCCCAAATTTGGACTGTTTTCTTCCTAAATCTGGGCTCTTGCATCCATCAGTCTGCAGTTGTTATCATCCTGCAGCAATACTGCATTATGAGAAACCTTTTGTTCTCAGTTCGCATGCCTTATTGCTCTACTTCTGAACAACACAATTAGGTCCCCAGAGCTTACTTGCTTTATCAAAAAAGACACAGGTATTAAACAGGAGCAGAGACATATTCCAGCTCACAAGTCAAATCAGATAATTGAAATGGTAGGATGAGACTTAAAATTAGCCCAATTCACGTCTGAATAGAGTTCATATCTCACTGGGAACTAACTGTCCTTTCTTTTCTTTGTCTTCTTTTTTTTTTTTTTCACCTGCTGCTGTTCGGTTTGGAAGGTGCTCTTTAGTAAATACTGCAACTCCAAAGATATTATGGACCTATTCTGCATCGCAACAGGGTTACCAAGGTAGGTCTCTCCTTTCATTTGTGACGTTTGGTTCACTTTTGTTCCTTTACTTGGGGACAATTTAAAGACAGATCTCAAATGATTCATTTACTTGGTGTTCAGGCTTCTCTCTCGATCCAGTCTACTGGAAGAAAAAATTGGGACAATCCAGACAGCACCGGTTGGAAAAGTGCACAAAGTTCTGGCATGTGTTGAGCCACCTAAGTGCTGGCTGAGCCTGAGGAACCAAGTAGAACAGAGAAGAACAGAAGGCATATAGTCTAAAAAAATAGAAGCAAGTGCAGAAGCCTAGCCCTGAGGACATACAGGTTGTGTGTGCCTACAAGTTACACCTTTGCCAGTTACACTCAGCAATCCGTTTTTGCCCATATCAAGGGAAACACAACTGTATGTTTGGAACGTAAATTTTAAGGGAAAAATTTGGGGGCAGGAAGATGCATTGCCACTAGGTGATAAGCTTTTCACTTAGATACAATATAATCCAATACCAGGTATGGGATAGTCACACACAAAGTACTCCAGCTGAACCATTTTATAGATCATAAATATCCCTAAATCCCTTGCCCAGGCCAAGTATTTCCTAATTTACTTTGTCCTGCAAAGTCCGTACATCTCTCTTGCCGTAACTTCCTGTGGGGTTTGTTTCTCTTACCTTCAACCTAGAAAAAAGCATCCAATTGAAATCTTGGTGTCAGGCGGGATCTGAGATCAGTTGCAGGTGTGTGCCAGGGTGGGAGAGGCTGGTGCATGATGGGGTGTGGCACAGTGCAGCACCCAGACGCTTCTGCACTGCCTGTCCAGGGCTGCGGTTCAGGGTGAGGGAAGACCCTCAGTCACATCTAGAAGGGGAAATCTGCCCCTTCAGCAGATTTGAGCAGCAGACCTTGAGCAGCACAGGCCAGATGCTGCATGGCAGCATGCAATAAGCCATAGTCTTTATTTTTGTACATACAGGTGTATAGCACAGAAAAACACAGGAAAAAAAATAAGTTTAGCGTGGATTTATTTCATTACTCCAGCTCTGGGGACTGGAAGACAAACTTGTCTATATTGACTCAGAATTTGCATAAGCTGCTGGGCAGAATTAGTGCCCTGTGCTGTTTATCCTGTCTATTTCCTCCTTTTTGACATTAGAGAGGTTAACAACTCTCATTTGCCTATGATGTCAAGTACTTCCACTCCATAACCCAGAAAACTTTGTTCAGTGGTTTTAGTGATTCATGATTAGGGTGTTCACTGCATATCTGGCATTTTATTTTGATCAGAAGTCTTCCAAAGAAGTGTACATTTTATACAGGCTCCTGGAGCAAAAGCGAACTTCCAAGGTTTACATCTGAGCTGATGAGATCATACCTAGCACATTAAGGAAATAAAAAAAAAAAGCCCAATATTCAGCAAGACATTTGTTTTGTTTGTTTTGTTAAAAGAGTAACTACACAATTTCAAGACATTCATAGAACCAGTAGTCATTCGTATAGTGTGAGTCAATACATAGCTGCTGCGTCAATGTATCTGTCACAAAACACAGCTTTTTAACAGAAATTACTAGTTGATGAGTCAACAGAAGATATGAGTTACCAGGGAGCAAAGTTTGCTCTTAGGTCAGTGATGATCATACTTAACATTTTACTGGAAACATCTCTGATAATTAAAATGGGTGAAGCATTAATCCCTCCCTGACCTGTGTTTTGACCCTTTCTGCACCAAGGTAGAATGGGTCCAAGACAGTGCCAGGCCAGGCCAGGAGTACTGCAGGAGAGACAATGGGCATGTACCATATGTAGGAGCAGAGAATTTCAGCCAGCATTTCTAGGTCAAATAAACCTATTTGAAACATGCTTTTCAGGAACACGACGATCTCCCTTTTGACAGCAGACAATTGCATGGTATCCATTGATCCCACAATGCCTGCAAACTCAGAGAGGTAAGCCTTGCTGCCACCTGCTCTTCAAAAACAGGGTCAAGCCCAAGGGAAGGGGTGGTGGGTGCCTGCAGATGCCTTTTGTGTGCAGGAGGAGGCAAGCTACTCCCCAGAGGGAGATGACAGTAAAAAATAAGTGCTGGCTTATAACACAAATGCCTGCTGGTTTTGAAGATTTTTACTTGTTATTAAAGTAGGAGTCATTTCTGAGGAAAAAAATATTGCTTTCAAGTATTTGATGTAGAACATCTGTTGCCATCTCACTGTGTTCACTGTCAAGTCTCCCAGTTCCTTTCTTTCCCCACTTCTTCATTGCTGTGCTAGGACACAACCATCACATTCCTTGCAAAGCCAAGTCAAAGTCTTTGATGATGTTAGGTCTCTTCCATGGTTTTGGCCCTTCTCACCTCCAAATTCCTTCCTCTTTTTCTCCTTGTTTTCCTCTTACTTGTTCAGCCTAACACTTTTATTTTAACTCTGACTGCTCACAGTTACTCCTTCTACTGTTATTTATTGCATAATTCATTATTATCTACCACTGGTGTTACTCTCACTGACACTGTGTCGTGGAGCCTCAACAGCTGGGAGAGGACAGTGCATGGGACAATGTGTGAACACAGAGCAAAAAGATGATCCCCACCACTGGATCTCCTTTCTAACCTACAAAATTTCTTCACCACCTCAGTCCTCAAGACATCAAAGCATGGCAAAGAGGAAGAATTTTTAGCGTGTTGTGTGATTGTATAGCAAAAGAAAGATCTCTCTACCTCTAGTTCAGTAGTGAATCACAGAATCCTAGAATGTTAGGTGTTGGAAGGGACCTTGAAAGATTGTCTACTCCATCAAAGGCTCATGTGCTCATAAAAAGTGTCCATTACATATTTACACTGACAGGTTTTAAGAGAGCTTAGAGTTTATTCAGATACTTCTTCCTACTTCTCAAAAGGTATGAATATGAAATACAAACTACTTTCTGAGTGTTACAGAATCACAGAAATAGAGAATATTAGGGGTTGGAAGGGACCTCTGAAGATAACCTAGTCTGACAAAGATAACCTTCTGACAAAGCAGGACCCCTTAGAGTAGATCGCGTGAGAACACATCTAGGTGGGTTTTGAAAAGGTTTTTCCTTGTGTTTAAGTTGAACCTCCTGTTTTCCAGTTTGTGATCATTGCTCTTTACCCTGTCACTGGGCACCACTGAGAAGAGTCTGGCCCCATCCTCCTGATACCCACGCTTTAGATATTTATAAGCATCGATGAGATCAAATTTGCTAACATCAACCCTCTCTGACTCTTCCAGGTCTCCATACAAAGTGATACCTGTTGCCACTGGGCAGCTCTCAGGTAAAATGATCCTTCTGAACTGAATTTGCAAACATTTGCATGTGGAAATTACACGGCTATGGTGAAAGAAAGAAAGATGTGTCATGGTTGTAGCTACAGCTACAAGTAAGAAGTATTTGATCACAGTGTTCCGGACAAAAGCTAAGAAAAATAGTCCCTGGATTTCAAAGCCTTTGAGGGTGAGGTGGAATGGCCAGGGTCCAGGGGACTTTTGCAGTGCTTAGCTGTGGTATGACTCAACACCACGGATGTCCTGGGGAAAGTCTTTCATGGAGCAGTGCTTTTTTTTCTCAGGCAATGCAGATGATGTTTGAAAGCCTGCCCTGCAGTGTTTTGTTAAACTCATTCATTTCCCAGCAAAGCTCTGCTGAAAAGCTGGGCACAACATTTGAACTCCATGTTATTTCCAAAAGGCTGCAGAGAGAGCATAAATTCTGTTGTAGGCATGGTAGCTCTAAGTGCAATAAATATTTAAATACACCTGACAAGATTAAAGAAGGCCTGGGTGAAGGAATACATCTGGAACAACTTTCCCAGTGCACAGCACTGCTGTTCTCCACAGGCAGCACTGAAGTGGCACTTCTACCATTTCTCTTTGCCTGCCAGTGTCAATGCTCAGACCAGTAGCTCTCAGGCACTGGAGAAGAGCGTTTGCTTGGGGCAATTCCTGTAGAGCATCTGGCTCACAGTCTCTCTCATCTGTGCAACTGCACTATCTCCTGCCACTCGCTCTGAGGCATCCTGAGCAAGGGCCCTAGCCTGTACCTTGTGGAACTGTGGGGAGAGGCTGGCTGCTGAGGCTGGGACTGCAGGAGGACAGGAGCCACCAGCTGGGGACACAGTTAGAAGCAGTAAAATGGGAAGATAGCAGAGACAAGGGGGAAGAGGTTAAGATGAGCTTGGAAACATAGAGTGCACAGAAAGAACAGGATGGAGCCAGAAAGTCTGGGGCTGGGAAAAGCAGTTTGCAAGAATGGGTGAGGCTCTTGGGATAGGAGCAAGGTGATTTTGCTGGTCCCATCTCATTTTCTTGCTAACACTAATTGTAGGTCCCACCACTTTAGGCTCACGTGTTATGCAAGAAAACACAGTGTCTCACAGCGCTGCCATTTTTTAGATGGGGAGGCACAGGAAACTGAAGTCACTCTCTGAGATACCCACATCCATGGCGGCAGAAAGATCTGTAGAAAAAGGGCACAGCAAAGCAGCGTAGGAGGATGTGCGGGTGGAACAGAGAGGCAACAAGTAGGGAGCTTGTGTGCAGAGTGCAAAGGCAAACAGAGCAAAAAAAACAAAGAAGCTAGGAAACAGCGAAGAACTTTATCACGCTTAGGTTTGTTACAAGCCGTAAACAAGTCGCATGTCAGTGACTGCTGCTGTTGCCGGAAGGAGGTAGTCAAAGCAGAGAGATGGAAGTGCCTGCTAAGGGGAAAGAATCTGTCTCCTAAACTATTGTCTTATTGTAACAGCATCAATCTTCTGGTCAGGGAGTACACTACTCGTTTTATCAGATCAGAAAAAGGGGGTTCTTAACTGAAGCATGCGTATCTGTGTACCAGTTGGCATAAGTAGCACATAGCTATTTGCCCCAGAACAGAGTAAGATCAGCAAAGGAGGCCAATGGGGCTCCACCAGGGAATGTCACTGTGTTACACCAGCTAGGAAGTTGATTGAAGGGCTTTCTAGAAAATCTATCATTTTTTCCTTTTTCCTAACATGAAGCTAACCGTATATTTTTATAAGGCCATGTATGACTTTTCACACTCTCCCAGGGCCCTCATTTTTCAATCCAACTGACAGCGCATGGCTCTGCTTTGTGCCGAGTGCAGCTCACTGTGTCAGCAAGGTCTCTCTTCCCTCCTTGCATTTTATAAAACAAGGACTTCCAACGATCTAAGCTGAAAAGGGCAAGAAAAAATCTGGCAGTAGCTTGCCAAAGCATAAGACAGAGTCTTCTGTGGAAGGAGGAGGAAAGTTGAACTGAGTGTGATGGAACTAATGTTCCTTGGTATCTGTTTCTCTTTCACATGGGTTGTCATTAATCTTAAGCATTCCTGACATTTTGCTGAGAGTAGGAAGAATAAACAGAGTGGGAAATTATTCGTCTTCATTAGAAAAAAAAAACCAACAAAACAGCTCTGTTCTAGTCTTCATTTCTTAAACAACTCTGCCTCCGTGATTCCACTTCCCAAAGCAACTCATCCAAATACATGCCAAAAAAGGGGTCACCCCAATTTTCACAACAGTGGGAGGTAATGCACCTCTTTTCAGCAATCTCCCAGGCAGCTGGAAAAGAATGACGCACGCTTCAGCGGAACAAGGACTGTAAAAGGTGGGACTGGAAAATACGATCCTTTGGGAGGAAAGTACAAGCAGTGGCTTTTATCCAGAGGAGGAGATATCCACCGGAGTCCTGTTAAGAAACCTCTCTTCATTTCCTGGCCATAGTCATGGGAGAGGGTTGGAATTAAAAAAATTATTATTCCGGTGAGTGTCTGTTGGATGCAGTGCCAGTCGTCATCTCACTGTGGGGTCAGATGTCTGCAAGGCAAAGGCAGGGGCCCAGCTGGCCGGCTCTGAGCCTGTGGGGCCACTTCATCATGTGCTGTCCCTCCTCCTACAGCCCCAGACCAGAAGGTGTGTGGGCATCCAAGCTGAGCACCAAACTCCTGGTGCCAAACCCTTCCTTCTCTCTGGGATGTTAAAACTCCCAAGCCCATCGAAGGGACATCTTCTCCTTCCTAACAGCAGAAAGGTTCTGGTCTGCATCCTCTTGGTGGAACAGGCTCAAAACTCGCAAACCGATGGCTGTGTTGTGGCTATAATTATTAGGGTTCAGACACTCCGCAATATTGCTGGAGGTGTCAATTAAATGAACGAATCCTACTAGCAGCACACTCTTGAGAGTGTTACATTTCTGATAGTGCAGAGAGAGGAGATATTGCGGAGCTCAAGTGAGCCTGATCCATCACAGCCCTAAACAGGGGGAAAACATGCTCAAGGGCTTTCTTTCTGCTCTAAAGGTAGCAAAGTGTGCGGACGAGTGAATGAGATCTCGCGTGGGATGGGACCTGAAAGAGCATGAGATATGCCAAGCTTAGCTCCAGCTCTCTCTGCATCTCTGTCTCCAGCACGTTTTGGTGGGTCCTTCCAACACAATCATGTCTGGGAAAGTGGGCAAGGAAATCCAGAGAGCAGTACCTCATAGTGACGGAGGCCAGCATGTGGAGAGAGCTCGCCATCTGCCACTCCTTGCTTAGCAGCCTCAGCACCAGGGAACCCCACCAGCATGGGTTGGAGCCGCTTGGCGAGGCTGAGGCTGCAGGCAGAGTCTTTGCCTCCTGCTTCCCTTGTCGTGCAGCTATTCACCTTTTCAGTTAACAAGCTATCTAGTGCTTGCATGGAGGAAAGCCCAGGATCTCTCCCCAGGGATACTGGCTTGCAGCAGGAGAGCTAGGTCAACCAAGACCCTTCTAGCTGCCTGCTGGAAGGCCTGTGTCTGAACTGGTGCTTACCCTGCCTTGCCCACTGCTGAGCTCACCAACGACAGCACCAGAGAGCCAGGAGAACTGCTTTTTCCCCCTGATTAAACACACAAGACCTTGTGCCGATTGCTATCGGTAAAGAGAAGTTTGTGTGTCTAAATCTTCTTATTCAGGGATCTCTCCTCCTTTATGAGGCATGTTCACCCTTCCAGATGAGGCAAGAGTGAAGAGGCAGAGAGACTGATGGAGAAAAATTCCCATCCCACCTGCTGCTCCTTACATGCATCCCACATGGATGTGTGCACCAGGATGGGGCCAACTGCTTCAGGATTACTCACCTGGATGGGGACTTGCATGGAACAGCCCAAATTAACCTGTGAATTTGGTGCTTGATATGACATGATTCACAGACGTGGGCTTGGGCTTGAAGCACACTCCTTCCTGTGGCTTTTGTCCACCAGGCTGTTTGTGCTTTTTAAATTCCCCTGATTGCTCAGATCCAAACAAACCACAGAAAGTGAAACACAGACAGGAGCCCAAGCCAGAGGCTCAAGCACATGTGACAGCGTGGCAGAGAATTTGCCAGCCTGTGCTGGCAGGGAAAGACAGATGCCCACATCCTCCCAGGCCACAGCAGAAAAGATGGGAGGAACCCTCCCCCACAACCCCACGCACTCCCTGCTTGCACTCTGCTGAGGCTGGTGGGATGGTGAGGAGATGGAGGTGGCTCCCCAGCCACAATCCCAGGAGGTAACACAGGAGAGGAAGAGGAAGAGTCAGTGCCGAGCGGGGTGATGTGAGGCAGAGGGTACTTGCCAATGGGTTATGAAATCATCTGTGTCAGTGCAGGCACAACCTGAGCTGTCCCAGTGCATACCTGGTCCCGTCTGGCAGGGAAGGTGCATGCTCGCTGCCAGCCCTCTGATCCGGACGCAGGGGGAGGCGTGGGAGAAAGTGCTGCTGCCATATTTTCCCCCACCTGCTTTCTGCCTAGACCTGCTGGAAACAGGACTGCAGAGAGGGAGAGTAAAACAGCTCCTTGGTCTGAGGCTGGCAGGGGCCAACGAGCAAGGAGCCAAAGTTCCTGTGCCTGCAGTGAGCACAGGAATGAGTGGTGGAAAGCCCAAGGAGGCTTGAGCTGCCTTGTACCTTGCCAGGCATTACACTATTGCAGCATCTTCCAGAGAGGGCTTTTCTAATTTTCATTTGTCAGCTCTAAAATACTCTGCATACTGCAAAAAAATTCTGACTTGCTGAACACCTGCATTTGCAAATGTTGCACATTCGCAGTGCCAGCGGTGGGTGAGCTGCGAAGAGGGCTGCTCTTGCCCTTTGGGTTGCTGCAGGCAGGAGCTGGCAACCTTCAGGAAGGTGCACACGTTGCAGCTGCCCATGCTATGTGTAGTAGGATTTTCTTTTTCACGGAGGGAATCACAGTAAAACTAATGAAGCAACTGAGGGAAAAAGTAGCTATGTGCACATGCGGTATCAACCCTGCGCAAAGGTATAAAAAAACACTACAAACAACTGAGAGTAATGAAGGGAGTAAAAGGCCACCAAGCCCTCCTGTTTTGTAAAGGAGTGGACAAGCGAGATTATGTGACATTGGTGTGATGTCTCATTTTCTTCATAACCAGGGGTTAGCAGAGGTCTTCCCCTCGGAAACGAACACGGCAAAGAAATGGATCTTTGTCTCTTTAAGATGAGACTAACTGCCACTCTTAGTCATATATCTTTACTGCACCCTAGGGTTATAAAAACATACATCTTCGTTTTCAAAGTCTTTTATTACATCCATAAACATCAGATTGCAGCTGACTGTTCCCTGGATGAGAATGTCCTAGTACTCCAAGTGAGTTTTGACAGGGGGAGGGAGTGAAAGTAAGATCGGTCGTGTTTTTTCCACTGGAACAGTGTTTATAGGGAACTTGTCAGTCTCTGGCATGCTACAGCCACTGTTAGAGAGCTGAGAAGCATCGAAGTGAGAGGACACAGGTTTCTCTGCTTATTTTCACTGCTGAACTCAGGTACCATCCCAGGTGCTGCATACGGTAAGCTTTCCTCCTGTCTTAAATGGGATGTTTGTTTTGTTTCAGTGCTTGTGTTTTAAAGTGGATTTTGTGAGAAAACTGAAAAAAAATGGGTCTCTGAAAAGAACTAATCTCTTCATTCATTCTGCTAGCCACTCCGCTGGGAGTCGGAGGACAGAAAAAAAAAAGAAAAAAAAAACAACAACAGAAGGGAATTAGATCTGAGACTTGCAGAGCTCATAGTGCTTGCTCCAGTTTAGAGACACAGGGGTAATTGTTTCCAGTTATCTTGGCAATTATTTTTAATATCTCTAATACCTGAGGAACTGCAAATCCTTTCAACAGGTACAAGAAATTTATTTAGAAATATAGTGTAAATGCTGGGTTATCTTTCTGTCTGATGTGTTTTGCCTGATGATTGCACTCATGAGGCATCACACTCCCTCAGGCAAGTGCGAGAAGTAGCTTCAGAAATGCCTTTGGGGTATTTCTACAAAGGGTGTTTCTACAAAATTTCTACAAATAGGTGTTCTGTAATATGCAGTGTGTATGAGAGCATGCAGTATTTTGACTCCTTGAGTGTGAGAAACCAAGAGTATATCCACATTGCAGGCATAAGGACGACTTCAGCACAGTGCATTTTAAATTGGCTAGTGGGGGAAAGTGGGGGCAATCTCCAAATCTGAGCTCACAGCTCAGCGAATGTGATTTATGCTTCCCCTGTCTGTGTGAATACCGTGTGGACAGACTGAAAGATGGGGAAACATTGCTATCGTACTTCTTCCTTCCTGAATGTACTTTCCCTAGAAATCTAGGGTCTTGTTTTAAGGACTCATCTGCTTTTCTCCAAGTTAGTGATTACACTCCTGTGGTGGTCTTGGGAAGGGGCTGGGACTTCACCAGGCTGACTTTCCCAAACCGACTGAAGCGCTGGAGCCCTAACATTGTCAGTGGGAGGCAGGGAGCTGCCGGCACGACTGCTCCCAGTGCAAGCACTGCCACAGCAGCTGAGGCAGCGATGGGATCTCCAGGGGATCCCCACAGAGGCTTTTTCCCAGTTATGTTCTCAAGGAAAAAGGGGGTGGGAAACTTGTGCCCTGCTGTGTCTGTCCCATGAACCAGGAAGGGCGGACCTTGTTCTGCAAGGACAGTCGCTTTGGCATCTCACGTTTCCCTGAAGCAGAGTAGTACGATCCTTATGAATTTGCACCACGCAGCTGATCTCCAGGATAATATCTTAGTGTAAAGGCAAGCTGAGTTTTCTTGCGTTGATAAGCTGTAGTGTTGTTTGTGGGCACTCTGGCACAGTGTGCTGATGGTACAGAGGCAGTCCTTGTGAGCCAGACCTTTCAAAAGCAGATGGCAATTCCCAGTGTCTTGCCCAAGAAATGCGAAGAGTTACCGTTCCAAAGACTGCTGCCTTAAAACAAGCCACCTCTCAGAGACACAGCACCCCTCAGAAAACCTTCTGAGAAACCTTGATTGTAGTCTGAAAGCAGAGGAAGGCAGGTGAGATGAGGAGTCATTCCCAAACACTGTCACTGTTCAAAGGACCAAGAACTACTTTTTGACTAAATGTCTCACTGTCAGAGCTGGAAGACGGGGGACACCACTTTGCAGGGGCGTCAAGGGTGTTTTCTTACGTCTCCCACTTATTTTTTTCAGAGAAAGAAGAATTGTTTCAGAATTTATTGGGACAGATTGCTGAGCAGTTCTCAAGGTAAGAAGCTGAACGGCATTATTAATTTAAAATGCTATTTCTTTTATCAGCCTGCAGTGAAATTTTCACAGGAGGCAGAGGAGTATTTAAGATCTCTTTCAAATCCCACTCTTCCTGCCAAATTTAGGCCTGGTACACATGTTG